ACTGTACTTTTCTTGCAGTACACAAATACTTGCTCAAATTGGACTTTACCTATTTACTTGGTACTTTTGGGAGCAACGCTAATTATCATGGTGGCCGGAATGTCATTGTATGGCGCTTCCGTTCAAGATACTAATGACAATATTGACTACAGTGGTCCAAGCTTGAATGGAATTGCTAATGGTATCAAAATATAGTATAAAATTTATCAAAATTTATCAAAAAAAAAAGTATTAAAATTTTTTTTGTTAACGCCATGTATTCAATGAGGCTGCCATCTTCCCGGTTTATCTCGGTGAAAACAGGCTATTTTTTCTCTGTTTCCTCAGCATTCTTAAAGAACTTCTGGCTTTCTTCTCCTTCCGTGTTCTACCAATTCTCCATTGGATAGGCGCATGACAATCGACTTTTTGATAGAAGCTAAAGAGGAGCAGTAAGACTTCTAGGTACTTGATGAAATTGATCAGCATCTATGCATTTTGAAGTGGTATTGTTAGTTGCGCTAATTTTTTTCATTTATATGCTGATAAGGCATTATTCACAAAAGCATTCACCTGCAAATTTAATGCACAAAGTCATGGGGGTAGCTGAAGGTATCTCTCAAGCGATATAAAATTTGCAATGTGCAAAGAAACGATCAGGAAGCAAAATCCTTTTGAGACTCTTGAAAACTCTAGTTTTTTCCACGAGAGGTTTCATAATTCTTAATTTCTTTATATATATATACACATAGAAATCAAAGGTTACAAAATATATGTATACATAGAAAGATCTCAGGCAGATTTGTAATGCTGTGCAATGAAAACCTTAGACATTTGAAAATTATGTAGATCAAGAACAATCGTGAATTGTCGGCAAAAAAACATAAAGCTTTGCGACAGATTCTCAAAACCAAAGAATTCCCACATGAGTTTCACATTTTAAAAACAGTCAAGTATCGAAAACCTTTAAAATCTGTTCCAGTACAGAGTTTTTTTGCTTAGAAAAAGTATCTTTGCTGGTGAGCTACAGAGATTTCAAAAAAAAAAAAAAAAAA